AGGTAATTTGTAATATTAATGACGTAAATAAATCTCTGTAAGTTTGTTATCGAGACTGCGATATTCTCGTTTTGTATATAAATTTACGCTTTACAACAAAAAACGTGTTCGTTACAACAAAAAAAAGCAGAAATAATAATAATAAAGCGAAAAAAATGTCATCTGTATTAATATTTCACGTTACATATAATACACACATACATGAGGTGTAATTCGAGTTCGAATATGCGTATTGCAATTTTTTATAATAAATTTTACAATGAGATGCTGAATAGTATATATAATAATGATAGAAACAATAAATTTGTGTTTAAAAAAAATGTAATGGATAATCTTGTTTTGTAACTTTTCTTATTATATTACACACATGCTTGCTAATATTATTAAATTCTTCAAGAAATATTTTTTTTAGTTGAGCAGACACACAAGTACGACCAGTGAAGATACCAATTATATCGGACGATACGTAAGAATCAGAATTAAATTCGCGTCGATATATAATGTGCGGTTGAGTCGAGAAAGAAATTCCTATATAGTTGATTTCAGGATAATCAAAGAGTACGGTTGATCTGACTAATAGGTGATTTGCGATTTCAGATTCTCCGCGATGGTGAGCTCAACACATGATTAGTAAGTGATGGTTACCTTCATCGAAAAACCGTCGATTTCTGTATTTCTGATTCGCACGCGATTCTTAAACGATACAACGGTGTAATAAAAGGCACTTGAAGCCTCTTTACGATCTGTGATAATTGCGATCTCTGCGTGAGGCGTTGCGAACTTGAAAGGATCAAAAGTGTGTAAAAGATTTTAATTCTTGAAATTTTTGCGAGTCAAAGAAATTACAAATAAAAACTAAATCTATAATTATGTGAATTTGATTTTCTTTCTTGTAAAAGAATATTTGCATGTTCAACTTTTAATAATAAAATTGTTTTGACGTTTTACATCAAGAAAATAACAGAGCTAATATAATGGATCAGAAGACAGAAAGCATTTTTGTGTTTTTCCGAAAATTCACTTTTATGAAGCGTATTTAATCGATCGCTCGTAAATTCGCTGTGGTCTTTCGGCGAAAAAAAAGATCGAGAACAACATATCGATTGTGTGACCTGTGATAAGTAGATTAATATTAATAAAAAGCGAGGCGGCATGCTAAATGACAGGACGTGTTGTTTTTCACAAGACTATTTTCGCAATTTTATTTCTATCAAAAGTGGTAGACACAAAAGCGAAGAAAATTTATAAAAATAAAAGTTTTGTTTCTTCTCGCAAAATTCCTTTCTGTAAAGTGCATTGGCGGTGCTTTTACGATATTGCAGACCGGGCTTGTCATGACGCTCGTAAATCGTTTGATACTCAATGAATTACGATTCACGGCTAAAGCAGGTAGAGGATAGGAATCGACCGGCTACTTGCCGCTTCGGCGAGCGAAACTGATTATCGTTGGCTTCGACGAGAGTTTGGCAACATTAATTTGGACAGGACGCAAGAGGAAAAAATCGACATGACATATAAGTGATTTGAAGATGGTGTGCGTGCGAGCGGCTTGGTAATTTAGGGTATTTTGGCACGAAGAGCCACGGATGCGGCAATAATGGATGATAATCGATTGTTGGCGATAAATAATCGTAACGAGAAATTTATTCCCAAGTAGAAAAATGCACTTATAGTCTGACTGGTTCTTTGTGCGTTTAAGGTGGTTAAATATATCAAATATATCAGGCGTGTACAAGCCAAGATGAATGATTATAAATACGTATCGCGTCATATAATGGAGTTTATTAGCACACTTAAAGTCAATTAAAGTTCCTTTACTGGAATTAGTGGAAAATGCAGTGTCGAGAATAATTAATATCAGAAGCGATATGATGATTAAAAGATGATGAAGAAGCACCGAGATAGATGAGACGCAAGATCTATAATTCGCAAACCACCGAAGTCATAAATCAGGATCGATGACGTAGAGTCTCTATTCTTCAAATGGAAAGCCTACTCTGAAAGCAGCGGCAACCTAATCTTATCTGCTACTGTTCTTAATAAATAATCACTAGACTTTAAGGAAAGTCAGAGTTCAAATAATCATGATTAATATTCTCGAACTTTTTTATAGCCTACAATGTAAACTGATAAATGAATATATAACTTGACTTAGAACTAATCAGTATTTTATTTATTGTTCGGCTATTATAATCTCATAACAATCAGATTGCATACAGAGCCGTTCATATTTTACTTATTTAAAAAACATTAAAAATGTTTTATATAGAAATATAAAATGGATAAAAAATGCAGTTAGATATTGAGATACTATTTCATATTGATGTTATAAAATTTTCTGAGCTCTTTTAATCTTTGTCAGAGATAGGCAAAACGGATTGATCGAGCAGAGAAGCGATCTCGATGATGAAACAAGTTGTCAGCACATACATCGAACGGCACGCTTAATGTCGCGCCGCATGCGTAGCAGCCGATTTAGAAACGCGTCGAGCAGACGGTTCACTCGAACAGCTGGAGCAATCATTTCAGATGACGCAGTCCGATTGAAAACGGTATGCTAGCGCACCGCGAGAAATCTACTCGGTTGCCAGATGAGATTTGTTTCCGGCATTCTTTGCATTCTTAATATATGTACATAAGAAAAACTTGATCCTAATATTAACTAATGTAAATAAATAAATTAATTTTCGCACGTATTTTTACGACGGACAATTTTGCATTGCAAAAATATTCTAGTCACGACAACCGAATCTGATTCTCGTAACTCAGTGACGTGATTCGTATATCCGGATATCTCGGGATTTACAACTCGCAGGTGTTAAATATTTTGCTATATTTTTTAGATAAAAAATCTATTGTCACAAATAACGTAAAGATGTGTGTCAATGCCAAGAACGATTTATTCAATGTCGCGGTCAGTAGTGCAGCGGCAATCTTGTGGTCGCGAATAACACACATGTTACTTGACCTTTCAATAGCGATTTTTGTCTATCGTTTCAGCTTATCTAGGTCATCCGGTCTAGTTCGCGCATGTAGAATTTGTGAAGATGCCTATTCACTGGAACATAACGTACAATTGGAGCGTTCGAACGGAATTTCGGGTATACACAGCAATAACGATTAATCAAATTGAATGTTTAAGATGTTAATGGTGTATTCGACAGCGGGTGGGCGTAAGGACGGTGACAGCGTTCTGAAATATTATTCTCTCGTGCATTTACAGAATCGTTTTTTTCCGCTACAGTGATCTCATTATCGGAATAAATTAATTAGCAGTCGTACGATTTTTTTTGCTAAAAACATCGGTTATTTTTTTTTTTTTGCTAAAAACATCGATTTTTAGCAACCAAGATAAATAGGCTCTTTTTTGTAAATTATAATGAGATTTAATGCTTTTATACATACATACACCTGCAATTCATCAGCAATCCCGATGATGCACGCGATGGTATCCCGCTGTGAACATACACGCGTCTCTTACGCTCTCGTTCGGCTCTCTCTTCTTCTCTTCCTTTTTCGTCGCGTCCTCACTTATTTTAGCTGCGTTCGTGGAACGCGCTATTTGCGCTATTGCATCACTCTATCTTTGGGTGCTTTCCAGCTACGTACACAGGCGACACTGTGCAACACAATGTCCACTAGTGTGAGAAGGAGCATATCAGTGTGTCTCACTCATTTTAGTGGACACTGTGTTACACAGAGTCGTTTGTGTACGTAGCTGGAAAGCGCCCTTTGTTTGTCATTTAATGGGCGATAAAGATAAAATGATGCAATAGCGCAGATAATGTGCTCCCCGAACGCAGCCTTTGTCGTATAATTACGTTTTTCTTGCGACTTTCAACTATAAAAACGGCGGTTCCTTTTGTTCACTAAGTCAATTTCCAAAAATTGTTTGACAGAGAATCTTAAATAGAGAAAAATCGATCAATCGACATCAACGAACTCGACGGACTCAAGAAAGAGAAATACAGAAAGGGAAAAATTATTCAAATTTACGGTTTGATTGCGTGATGTCCATTACGCATGTAGATAGATATTAAGAACAGCCGAAATTGCATTGGTCGGCATAAGATACGCCATTTTTGCGTGGCCTCACTTCTGTCCACGGCGACCAATCAGCAACTTAAAACGGTACTCGCGAGGTACGCAAGATAGAGAGAGAAAGAGACGACGCATTTCCGGGGAGAGAGGCTATGGTATGTCGATACCACACAGCGACCACCTATCGCGGACGATATTTCGATATTATACTGTGTGAAAATTAATGACAGTGTAATAAATAATATTGCGATATTATTATTAATATCGCAGGAAAAGAGGACACTATCGAGAGGAACGACACCATAATCAAGCAGCCCCTTGTTTTTTATGGCATGAGATAATTACATATGCAACAGTGAAAAGAGATTGAACCACTGCTGTTGGAATTCTGATACAGCAGTTATGATAATATTTCATTACCCGCAGGTAAAAAACTTATTATACAGTCATTACAGTCTCCTCTTCTCGTATCACACTGTAGTCTAAATTCTGACGGTGATTAATAAGTATTATGTTTGTCTCTTTATTATTACAAGTCGAGTAACACTTATAAGGCGCTTTTGTCCGTAACGAACGAACGGAAATTGGTTCATCAAAGACACAGTATCCGTAAATCGTGTGCACCGATTTACATAAATAACATCAACTATTATTCAAGAGATTAACTGTGACGATGATAAATATTACTGTGATTCGCGAATAGTTCTAAATGCAAGCAGCGAGAATTAACTGTGTAAATTACAACGTCTGTTAGGCGAGAACTTTTATTGCTTAATTTAGACCAGCTGACGGAAAGAAATGAGACAGAAACTGTTGACGCATTTAACAAATAAATGTTACGGTCGGGCGATTTGCGGTAATGCAGCTCTGTCCCGTAAATGATCTCCTAACAACACTTCAAAAAAGAAAAAAACACAAAGATAAAAGAAGCATATGGAAACTGTTAAAATAATACTTACCGTGGATGTCATTGACGCATATGTGGAGATCTTCGCGAAAAACCGGCACATCGTGGTTACATTGGCACGTGCAGGAACTGTTCGGCATAAACAGACTTGAACTTGAGGAACTTCGGGAATAAGGACTAGCAGTGCCGCTGCTAAGCACTGTACAGGCTTCTGTACAAGAGCCTAAAACAAATTTTTCAACAATTTTATTGATATATACTGTAGTATTTTTAAAGTTGTATTTGTAAATTTAAAATAAAAACATTTTTCATCAAAAAATGATTTAATTATTTACAACTATTATCTACATATTTTCACATTTGGTTGTCCAACCATATATACACGGAAAAAAAAATAGTTTTTACCACAGCTAATTACGGTTTGCTGAAACTGAATTTGTTGCTGTAGCTATAAAATTTCCTATTACATAGAAACAGTTTGCTGATATTCCTAAATATGTCGACATAATCGCAAAATATGTACGTCTTGTAGCACTAAGAGCTTAGGTGTCCATAATACTACCAAAATTTAGGTATCAAACCTAATTTTTAGCTGTGAGAGCTAACTTTTTTTTTTGTGTAGCTTCTTTTAATTTTTGATTATCACGCTATTCGAATCACATATTTACGATTAATAATTCTCTTAAAAAAATTAATGTTTCATGTGGCAAAACTTGTTTTACAAGACACTGATGCTGCGAGATCCTTAAAAGATGTATAGTCCATCCTCGAAATTCACGTGTCTCGATTTGCAGGACACAATTTAGCCGAACAAGGACAGCTGTCAAACCGTTACATCGTAATTTCACAGTTAATCCGTTACGAACATCTTTTTATCTCGCACAGCGGTTGTGTCACAATTTCGTGCAAAATTGTCTTGAAACAGGTTTTTATCGCGCATCATTTTGCTTTCGTGTACCGGAAAATCACTGAGAAGCATTTGCGCCATACCACCGGCAGCGCGTATAAGTGTTTTCGAAGCGCGTGTCTCGAAAGTCGACCACCAAAATGTAACACGTCATTACGTCATTACTATTCTCAGAACATTGCAAAAGAAATCGCAAATTGATATGGAGGTGGCGAAAAACCACACACAGAAGCAAAATATTGAACATTCTTAACGTAGCTAACAAGCAGTTCCTCATTACGACGATGTCGTAAGCTGCTTGTTTCTTCGTAAATCGTAGAACCGTAACATAATAATAAAAATGATTACACAACAATAAAAGAAAATAATTACCCTCGATGGTAAAAATATCTCCATCAGAATGCCTGATAACCGATAATTCCTGGCAGTGAACAACTTGCAGGAGGTTGAAGCAGCTCGCGAGAACGAGAGCTAGAGGACGCATCTTCCCCTCAGCATTCTGCAAATAGACATATAGACATGGACAATAAATAATCGAACAGGATAGGAGTTTTATGTGTTCCGTTAAGCGTGCCAAACAAGCATGTTTGTTCGGATTATAGATGGCCGATAGGTCATTGAGAATCTTGAGAATTAATGGTCGCTTAATTTCCGCGAGATTACGCAGGACACTTCCGGCAGATAGGCATTTACGGCGCCATTTCTATCGTTCAATCATTGCTAAACAGCGGCGTTTACATGCACTTAATGTCTATAAAAGATGCGATATATCTGACGTTATCACAAAAAAATATGTATAAATTTAGAAATAAATAAGACAATCTAACTATATCTTGTTGAATATGTTTTTATATGATATATTTAATTAGATTTTCACATATAATAACTTTTTGTATGTTTGTTTTGTGATTGCTTATTTACGTACATGCAAGCACAAAGCGTAAGAGTTGAAAATTGAAAAGATATATCAATTCGGTCATTAGGATCATTAAAGTAATAATTCTAAAAACGCTAGTACACGTCGGTAAGTGTTATGATTGCGGTCGTTAAGTAAAATTACAATTAACCTCAGGGTCTTGCACGAATCAAACTTTCGATGTTGCCTCGCACATTTTTGTACACTTCATAATCGATATACTGGCTTACTAACTCACGAAATATAAATAGATTTCTATGTATGTACGTCTAGACTTATCAATTTATCATTTAGAGTTGTACGATATATTAATTGATAGTTAAACAGAAATTATACACAGTTTTATTGCAAAATTGTTAAGTATTGTGTTAATTATTGTTAAAATGTATTAATTGCAGATGAATTTACAACCGTCTGCATTACTCACATTCAAAACATAGTTTCAATTTGACAATAAATTGACGCTATTATCAGTAATAATTAAAAATTGTAACTAACGCTATCTAAGTTGTCGTACAAAAAATAATGAGATAGCTATACAAATAAGATAGACATTTGCCTAGTTTTATCGCTTGCCATGAGTATACTTCATATAACTATTTTGAACAAATTAATAAAAACAATATATGCAATTGTAATATTCTGCATAAGTTTGTTACTTATCAGATTTTAGCCTAATATTCTTACGACTTAATTAAATATATAAACAAAACACAATTTTGAATCGTTTTATTGACAATTCGTCTTGAAGAAATGTAATAAGCATTAAAAATAACCAGTTATTAGACTATCGTGTAATAAGCATTAAAAATGACCAGTTATTAGACTATCGTGTAATCACGATCTTATCGCGATAATCTTATCGAATTTGTGTACAGAGAATAACTATGGCAGATGTTGGGCGAAAATTACTCTATTATGATTATATTAATTTACCAATAAATTTGAAATATCTAAAGTCTAATTGAATCTTATTACGCGTAGGTTGCGTAAATGTTAGCAAGTGCGCGATAATTAGAGTGCGAGCTCTCTTCTCTGGGAAAATTGTCTTAATAACATGTTCACGGCGCAATTACTATATCTATAAACTGTCTTTTACGTCGCGCTTGTTTTCGGATTGTAGTTTAATTAAATCTAATTATATCTATTAATTATTAAATTTAATTATCTCTTCTCTACGCTCGTTTTGTAATTAATTTGAGTGATGTTCAACTGTGTCTTGAGAAAGACAGTGGAAGTATATAGTCGAGAGAAAGTGTCGTTTTATGTCAAAATAAAACTTCTTTCAGTTTGTGCGTAAAGATTAGTCGAACATTAAAATGGAAAACGAGATAATAAAATGTTTGAAAAATAGCATGATAAGTGTTAAAATAAATTACAAATTCACAGCATCATCAAATGCCACTATAAAAGCCGGTGTGAATCCTGTTCCAAAATTCGTTACTTAAAAAAAAAAAAAACATCATTTTATCGTCACGTTAGCCGTTTCTTAGAACTTCGATAATAAACCACCAGTTTCTTCTGTTAAACAAGAACTTGGAAATACTTGGAAAGAATTCAATGGAATTTTTCGACTATGTTGATTGGTCATTTTAATTATTGACCAACAAAACATGATTATAAATTTCTTTTACAAACGACGTAAATGTGTATTTTAATTATGCGCAAATATTAACACCGCTTCTGTCTCGTTTTACTTATTGAATAATAAACTCAGATTATGTCATTTACTTCAACACCGAATATATAAACAAAAAAATAAAACGTGTTAGCTATTACCATCTCTATACTATTACTATGTAAATATTTTTCAAACCGTAAGAAACTTGAATATTTTAAAACCGAAACAAACTGCATATATCTAAGATTCTGTGAAAAACAAATACATGCTTCAAAACTTTGCACGCAACCAGGTTAAAAGATAATGATACGTTAAAATACACAGCGCGACGGATTGCGAAACGCTATAAGAAGCAACCGTGTTGGAAGATCGACAGTGCAGGAAGTACAAGCTCGTGCAAGCTCGGCATTTCCACTTCACTTTGGCACCTGCGCCAGATGCAGCTCCGATTTTGTCTCGCGTTCTTCACATTGCGTTCCGCACGTCGCGACGCGCGGCGGTACGTGTTATCTCACGCGTGCCATCGGCTCGATTGTGCATAACGTTAAGCTCCTTGCCCGCCGGTGTTTCTTGCTCTATTGGTCTAGTCGCGCGAGCGTGCCGACGCTATGTAATTTCTATCGATGCACGCGCGAGACGTAACAACGTCTCTAAGCTCGTATTATACCCGGAAAAGATCTAACATGTGCGATATAATGCCTGCGGTCGCTATACGGCTCTTTACCGGACACGTGGACCTATCCCCCGGTTCTTTTCGAACTCGACCGCGGACATTTCTAGTTAGCGCCGATATTGGGGGAATCAATTGAGCATTTTTTCGGTCGAAATACGATGCAAAACGCATTGCGCAATACGACGTTAATTCACCGAAACGACTCGTTAAATAAATAAGAATTGCAGTGTCGAAAAAAAGCTGAAAGAGTGGCAGAAGAGACGTAATTGTATCATGTAATAACATTATAATAACTCAATTACGCTTTTTTTGTGCTAAAATATTATTTTAAGAATGTTATATAAAATTATGGTGTCGATATATAATTTTACGGCACGTAATTTTACGAATTACATCGAAAATAAAAAACAATTGTTTGTTCTGATATCGTGCGCAATTTGATCAGTTGTTTCACATATCTATATTTTTAGTAACAAATCGCAATCATTGAAATTTATTTTCTTTCAGTAGTGTGAACACATCATGCGCACGACTTATTTCGTAACAGTGTCAATAGTCATGGTCAATAAGCAGAATGATCACGGAAATAATGGTAGAAAGCAGCGATTTCTATATAGCGACATCAACCAGTTATTTTATCAGATATTTACTTTTAATATGAAATATTATTTACTTTAGAGAATATTAAATACTATCAGCATAAAAAAATTAAATTATAAAAATATATTACTTACATTATGTATGTTACATATATTATAAAAGTAATAGTATATAAAAGTAAAGAGAAGTTGCAGTCTAAAAATATTACATATAATCTTTTAGCATGCAAAACTTTTGATGTTTAAAGTACGATGTGCAAACGTTTTTTTTTTGGAATTTTATTATCAGTGCATCAGGTTGTACAAATTCGAAACCGGATCGGAAATCGCTAAACGTCAACCTGATATCAATTGTCCTGAGTAACCGTTACTGCATAAATACACGCAAACTCGACATTATATGTATTTTTGCGTGTTCGTAATTACTGTTGCCATGAAAAAGAGTGGCATGCATTAGCATTCCGTACGATTCCTCTTGGTCCACTATCGTACGGTCACTTATTGTATCAAGATATGAACACGGTACTTTTTAAAAGCCAATAAAGAAAGTAAAAGCCTTTTGATACGCTATTAATTATCCCTGTCTTTTGCTCATACTTTGTTGAATAAATAAACGTATTAAGTTCAAAGAAAAAAGCGTTTTTGGCCTCGCATGCGGTTCTTTTGCGAATTTAACATAACAAAATGTATCGATTGATCATTTCTCCCTTGCTTAAATATAACCACATATTTACGGAGAAAATCAAACTGACCAGAAAGACAAAATACTATAAATAGTTGCAAAAAAAGAAACAAAAAAAGAAAGAAAAATGAATGAGAAGTTTTAAAGATAAAATAAACTTTCAAAAATTATGATTATGTAATAAATATTGTTATAAAGCAAATATATTTTATAAGAAACACTGTGTAAAAATACCTAAAAAATCTTTGCTTTTAAAACTGATAATCTTTAGTATTGATACTAATAAGTATGTGTACCAAAAATAAGTTTTTTTTTGTATCGGCATTACGTCACGATGCGATAACATTAAATTGAATATTTGCATCATGCAAACATATTAAAATTTCATATAAAACGCTAAAATTTGCATCTCTTAGTAGCAAACAAATAGAAAAAAATAATAGAAATGCGCAAAATTTATTTATGTCTCTGATGGCGGCAATATTCTGACAATTTGTAGGGGGTTTCATTTAAAAAAAATAAGGTTTACCTTGAAATGATCTTAAAGGACATGGTCAAGATCAAAGTCAAGGTCATCATTTTACTCCTCGCTTGAGACCATACACCTTTGTTATTGGACATTTTTTCCAAAATGCATTCTAACTGAAGATATTAGGGGGGTCCGATACTTTTCGTTGACTCTGTATATGTATATAGGTAACCCTCGTATAATGCGGTAAGTAAAGCGATTTCAATATAATGCGGTTTACAAATTGTACTCAAATGCCATGCATAAGCGCGCATATTAAAAACGCAAGGTTGGACTCTATTTTAATACAATTTGTGAATCGCGTTATCTAAGTTTGCTTGCACAAAAAAGCATATATATACATAAACCAAATGCTGGTGGTACATTTATAGCTTTTGGTCCGTAAAAGCTAGGCCATACGCCAGTCTAAGTCTACACGGAAAAAAAATGGAGTTGCTTCAATTAAAGTTGACGTCACGGGCTGCCACAAAAATAAATAG